ACCCTTGGACACGTGGACTGCCGGCACTGAGATTCGAACCTTCAACCTTCTGGTTGGGAAACAACTGCTCTACCACCACCCCGCAGTGGTGCGGTGGTAGAAAGAAACTAAAAATAGAAAAGTAGAAACTAAAATAGAATAAAAGTAGAATAAATAGAATATGGAAACTGAATTCAATTTTCTCCGTGTCCAGAGATCGGGTCGTCGGGGCCCTTGCTTTCGACTGCTGGCTGATCCACTGTGCACCAGCCCCTTATGGATCCTCCTGCGGGTGTTGGGCCCACAGGAGGACATCCCCACGTCGCTCGTTCAGGCTAAGCCCAGCTGGGCCCCGTGGCCTGGCCACCAGGCGCTCACATTCGAGCCCTAACCCCGGGCCTGGCTCCAGGGTGGGGCCCCGGCTGCGCCATACTGGGCGACATCACGGGACTTGATCTCACTCTATTCATAAGGGGCTTTTGAACTGCTCTTAGTCTGACCCGTCACCCAGGACCTGTTTGCCTTGGGAGACCCTACCAGGGACATATAGCCCCCGACAACATAGCTCCTAGGATCACTCGGGTACTCAAACCCCTCCACCACAATAAGGTGGCGGTTCAAGGAGGGGTCTTGTTCATGAGGGAGGGAAGGATGGAATGGGAGATTGACAGGCGGACCAGTGCAGCTTCTGCAGTAATGCGGTCGATGTACTGGTCCGTCGTGGTGAAGGAGCTGAGCTGTAAGGCGAAGGTCTTGATTTACTGGTCGATCTACGTTCCGACTCTTCACCTATGGTCATGAACTTTGGGTCATGACCATAGGTAAGATCCCGGATACAGGCGGCTGAAATGAGCTTCTTCCACAGGGTGGCTGGGCACACCCTGAGAGATAGGGTGAGGAGCTTGTTCACCCGGGAGGAGCTCAGAGTAGAACCGCTGCCCCGCCACATCGAGAGGACCCTGGGCATCTTTGCTTAGACTGCTGCCCCCGCGACCCGGTTCCGGATAAGCGGAGGAAAATGGATGGATGGAATTCAAATAATAAGGATAAACTAAATGGTACAAACTAATACAGTGGGGCAAAAAAGTATTTAGTCAGCCACCAATTGTGCAAGTTCTCCCACTTAAAAAGATGAGAGAGGCCTGTAATTTACATCATAGGTATACTTCAACTATGAGAGACAGAATGAGAAAAACAAATCCAGAAAATCACATTGTCTGATTTTTAAAGAATTTATTTGCAAATTATGGTGGAAAATAAGTATTTGGTCAATACCACAAGTTCATCTCAATACTGTGTTGTATACCCTTTGTTGGAAATGACAGAGGTCAAACGTTTTCTGTAAGTCTTCACAAGGTTTTCACACACTGTTGCTGGTATTTTGGCCCATTCCTCCATGCAGATCTCCTCTAGAGCAGTGATGTTTTGGGCCTGTCGCTGGGCAACACGGACTTTCAACTCCCTCCAAAGGTTTTCTATACACGATACATGGCCCCATTCATTCTTTCCTTTACACGGATCAGTTGTCCTGGTCCCTTTGCAGAAAAACAGCCCCAAAGCATGATGTTTCCACCCCCATGCTTCACAGTAGGTATGGTGTTCTTTGGATGCAACTCAGCATTCTTTGTCCTCCAAACACGACGAGTTGAGTTTTTACCAAAAAGCTCTACTTTGGTTTCATCTGACCATATGACATTCTCCCAATCCTCTTCTGGATCATCCAAATGCTCTCTAGCAAACTTCAGACGGGCCCGGACATGTACTGGCTTAAGCAGGGGGACACGTCTGGCACTGCAGGATTTGAGTCCCTGGCGGCGTAGTGTGTTACTGATGGTAGCCTTTGTTACTTTGGTCCCAGCTCTCTGCAGGTCATTCACTAGGTCCCCCCGTGTGGTTCTGCGATTTTTTGCTCACCGTACTTGTGATCATTTTGACCCCACGGGGTGAGATCTTGCGTGGAGCCCCAGTTGAAAGTCTGTGTTGCCCAGTGATAGGCCCAAAACATCACTGCTCTAGAGGAGATCTACATGGAGGAATGGGCCAAAATACCAGCAACAGTGTGTGAAAACCTTGTGAAGACTTACAGAAAACGTTTGACCTCTGTCATTTCCAACAAAGGGTATACAGTGGTGTGAAAAAGTGTTTGCCCCCTTACTGATTTCTTATCTTTTTGCATGTTTGTCACACTGTAATGTTTCAGATCATCAAACAAACAGGTGCCATTAATACAGGTAACGAGTGGAGGACAGAGGAGTCTCTTAAAGAAGAAGTTACAGGTCTGTGAGAGCCAGAAATCTTGCTTGTTTGTAGGTGACCAAATACTTATTTTCCACCATAATTTGCAAATAAATTCTTTAAAAATCAGACAATGTGATTTTCTGGATTTGTTTTTCTCATTCTGTCTCTCATAGTTGAAGTATACCTATGATGTAAATTACAGGCCTCTCATCTTTTTAAGTGGGAGAACTTGCACAATTGGTGGCTGACTAAATACTTTTTTGCCCCACTGTAGGCTATGATGAAACTCAAAGCCATGTGCAAACAGTGACAGTAGTGCAAATAATAACAAGAAGATTGTCAGGTGGTCATGATCACCGGGGGCATTGGTGATGGGATGCATAATAGCTTATGAAATGTACATGGACAGTAGTGCAAATGACCAACAGCAGCAGATATGATGGTAAAAAGAACAGTCAGCTGCAGATTTACCTGTAATATAACAAAAGGGGGGAATGTATTGAGTTTGTGCAACAGCAGAGGTAGTCTTTTTATGTTCTGTGGTGGGTTACGGTCCAGGAGCAGAGGGGGGAGGTAATGGACAGTGTTCAATACAGTTAAACTCTCTGGAAAAAGAGCAGCATGTCAGCTTATCTACACCAACAGCAGAGCTAACACTACTGTACGGTCTCTTCACTGTAAAGGGACTTGAGCTGTTTTCAGTGAAAGCCAGTGCATAACAGAGAACACCAACAAATCACAGTTAAAGAGAATCTGTTATGTGCAGACATTAACTTCCAGCTGCTTTTCTAAGTTTGTCTCTATGAGATGTATGAATAACTGACACGGAGGGTACATCCACGCTGAGCATGCTTCTTTGTGTTGTCAGAGTGCGGTGGGAAGAACTTCCACTTTGTCCACAAGTCTGCGGACGTTCAGAGCGTGGTGGCCGGGACGATTCGCTCAGCATTCGAGTATGGAGGTCAGAAGTGTTCAGCCTGCTCCAGGATGTACGTGCCCAACAGCCTATGGCCACAGATCAGGAAGGAGATGCTGGACATCCATCGGAGCATCACAGTGGGAAACGTGAGCCCCACCACACAGACAGACTTCAGACACTTCAGCTTCCTGGTCGAGTCACTTTGGTTGTTTTCATATTACCCTCACATCTCTGTCTGCTGGTTTAACCTGACAATCAGTACAATGCCAAAGAGAACTCGGTTAACGGTGATATGTCAGAGAAAGTCGATGCATGTGAGATGCTGAACCAGAGAGTTAACTGGCAGCTTTTGTTTTTGCTTGAAAAATGAAGGAGTTGATAAATTGTTTAAAAAGTTGCAGATGAATCTTGTGGCTGTCGACTCATCGACTAATCAAAGCAGCTGACTGAGTTGATAAACGACACTGGACCCAGTCATCTGGTGCTAACAGCACTGACAGGCTATCTGTGAGATGTCACCTGAAGATGTAGGGTGGTGAAACTTGGCATGTGTGTGGTGTTTTCTTTTGCACTGTCTGACACACAGCTGTTGCAGACAGGTAACCATCAGGAAACGTTACCCAGGTTTCTGGATGTTTCATGGTCTTTTCTCCTCTTTCCTCAGCCGGTGGAAGACTTCAGCACCTTTTTCTCAGCGGTCATTGATGATAAGGTGCAGTTCACTCAGCTTCGGCCAAGTCCAAGCGTCCTTGTAGTATATTTAGCAGTAATGCAAAGTAACTACTTACATTTACTCAAGTACTTGAGAACACTTTTGAGGTATTTGTACTGGAATATTTCTCTTTTCAGCTGCTTTGTAGTTGGATTTTATTACTAGGGGGATTATTATTATTAGGGGGATTTGTTGGGTTTTCCCTCTGTAATAATATTGATAACAGTAAGGTCTAGACCTGACTTTGTAAAGTGTCCTGAGATTACTTTTGTTGTGATTTGGCGCTATACAAATAAAATTTGATTCGATTTGATTTGATATTACATAAACTCTTTATTAATAACACTGATCACGTAAAGGTGAAGGCAGGAAATTGGCAAAGCCCTCAGCGGCATGTAAGCTAACAGTAGCTCCACCTTCACTAGCTGCAACACGCAGGTCATCAACACAATGGTGCATCAATAATTATTATATACAGTTGTTATGATTACTGTACTTTTAATACTCTGAAGTGTATTTAGCTGATGAGACTTGTACTTCTACAATCTGCATGCAGGACATGTAGTGTAGTATTTCTCCACTGTGGTATTAGTACTTTTACTGAAACAAACTTCTTCACCACAGATTTTTAGTGTATTTGTGTGTAATATTGGTATGTTTTCTTATGCAGTCATTTGGGCGGATAAAGAGGTGGCTGGATCATGCCAAGTCCTCCCCTAATCTGAAGGTCATTGCTGGTGGGAACTGTGACGACCGGAAGGGTTATTTTGTGGAGCCCACCATCGTGGAGACCAGAGACCCACGGGACCCCATCATGACCGAGGTACACGCTGGTTTTACATGGGAACAGGACGCGGGTTTGAGCACACGTGGGAGTCACAGCCACACATTGCGCTCTCACCTGTTGCACAGACTGAAGCATCACTGGGCTGCACCGCCTGCATTCACACTCTGCACTGGGCACAGAATATGTTGGAACATATTTCTCCATGGTCCATTTCTGCTGCTTTCATGAGAAGTGCTGTGCAAATACAAACTGCCATGTTATCTGTGTAGAACATCACAGAGGGGACTGTGTTGCTGCAGTGAAGACAGAGACAGACCCATCACTGTGTGCTTGGTTTCATACCCTGACTTCTCTGTGCCACTTGTACAGAATGGTGCATCCCTACAAACGTATTCACCTCTGATCAACATGTGCTGTGTGTGCTCCAGGAAATCTTCGGGCCTGTTCTGACAGTGTACGTTTATCCTGAGGACAACTACAAGGAGGTTCTGCACCTGATAGATGGCACATCTCCGTACGCTCTGACAGGAGCCGTGTTCGCTCAGGACAAGTAAGACCTGGTTATCTGCACATTAATGGCTCTTGAGGAGTCGGAGGTCTTTGGATAGGATGGCCTTCTTTCAAGGGTTTCCAGTGGTCTTTAAAACGGCTGAAAGAGTCTTTAATAAGGGTTTTTTTTTTATAGGTCCTATTTAACTTAAGCTGATTATGTTCAGTTGATATTCTGTCATGTTGTGTCAACCTGTTGTGCTTTAATGTGTTTCTGGGAAAATTCCACCTGTGGTACATTGGCTCTGTGTTGTAGTTCTTTCGCTCAGCAGGTAATATTTATCACAGTGTAATAAAACTACAACACCAGAACATGTGTAAACCACACAGCCCAGTCAGAATTGATCGGAGAACACTCAGCGAGCGCATGGTGCTATGTGGGCTAATGCAGCATGTGTTCCATCAGTAGATGTGAACCAGCTCCTAAACTGCACTCTAAAAAGGTTTAAGTCTCCAGTCTCACTTGGTGACACTACAGCAGGCCTGGCAGTGAAATCATGCATCAGCTTCACATTATGTAGTTCTGTAATGGCGTTTGATCTCGTTCCCTGTGCTGCAGGAGCATTATTGATGAAGCAGCCAAGGCCCTGAGGAACGCTGCAGGAAACTATTACATCAACGACAAATCCACCGGCGCCGTCGTCGCTCAGCAGCCATTTGGTGGTGCCAGAGCTTCAGGTAAGACTGGTTACCACCTTACGCCTCTGATTTCAGGTCAGATGAGCTGATCTGGCCTGAACATGATGATGTTTGTCACACTGAACTCTCTTCACCAGGTACTAATGACAAACCTGGAGGGCCGCACTACATCCTGAGGTGGACGTCCCCGCAGGTGGTGAAGCAGACCCAAGTCCCCCTCAGAGAGTGGAAGTATCCCTACATGGGCTGAGTGGGAGTCTAGGCCTGGTCCAGATGGAGCCCTCCTTCCAGCAGCTGAGTGACACCCAGAGATATCTGACCAGACCTTTGCACTGAACCTGGACATAAATGAGAGTGGTGAGAATGTCTTACTCCTTCGTGGGCTGCAGACACTAGGCACCACAGCACCGTGGTTCACACAGATTCAGCTTCTGCTTAGTTCGTTAGTACGTCAATCACAAACCGCCCCAAAGAACAGCAAGGCTTTGTTTTTAATTAGCATCAGATTAGTGCGAACAATGATTCAGTTAAACTGATTCTTACAATTATTAAGTTCAGTGAGAAAACACCGAACTTCATAAATGTGATCATTTTAGGGTTTTCTTTGTCGTCTGTGAGAGAGAAGTGAATATTTGTCACCTTTCCGATGTTATGAAGGCCAAACGATCAGGAGGACACCTGTTGGATGAACTGAAAATGAAAATAACTGTGGTTTCTGTCATAAACCAAACTATTATTTGGGGTCAGTATCAAACATGGGAGGTATGTTACACTGATTTTATTTGTCCATTGCACTTGTAGTCTTTGTTCATTGACGTGTGAAACAAACATGCTAATAATGTTTTAGAGCTCTGTGTTAAGAGGTCTTTTCCTCTTTTGTCCTGTCTGTGGACCTCCTTTTTTTCTGTCACCGTAAAATCAATTTTTGTGCTTTAACAGCGTCACCAGCTTGTGGCCTCAGATCTCGGGGTAATCTGCTTTTCTCCAGGTAGATTTTGAGAAACAAGCACAAATGATTTAGTTCAAGTTGGTTGTGTAACTGAAGCTTAGCTGAACGTGACCCTGCTGTGTTTTTAATTTTTAACTTCCTCTTCTTCTTTAACTTGCTTGAATACTTTTAACTTCAAGTATTCAGGGGAACACCCCACTGCTTTTTCTTTTGTCTTTTAATTTTCTCTGTCTGCAAACAGATGGTTTATATTTTCAGGGTGCACCTGCCTTAGAAACTGTAAATTCAGAGGTAACTTTTGACAATAAATAGTAAATTATTAAAAATGTGGTTTTGTTTTTGGCTTCTTTCATGCTAATTAAAGGTACTTTAAAGCACTTGGTGTGTTTATGTTGGCTAATACACCCATCAGTTTCTGCCGATTATTCATGTCCATTTCAAATTATTCTTAATAGAGACTATTGCTTAAAAAGTGATAATGGTACACTTAAAAAAAAATCGTAGCCACATCTTTGCTGTTTCACCCTCATACATCATTCTGGTTGGATGGTGAAAAAGGTTTAAGTATTTAGGCTGCGTCCCACAGATAAAAACGATTTTACCCCTATAGGGGGCAGCATTGCGCCGCATGGTGTATGGCCTGCCAGAAATTTAGTGGAAGAAGACGAAGAAGAAGAAAAACACGGACAAAACATTTGTAACGCCTTTTATTTAATAGAAATAGAATTCAATACAAACAGCTACATAAATTGCATAACAGGATCCATCAGATAAACAAAGGTAGGCATAATAAGTAAGCTTACGCAAAACAAAAACCAAAACTAAGTAGTACTAAACAAGAACAGGGTTAGGGTTAGAGTAATGCGAACAGCAATGCTCCAGCCATTCCGTTGTATTTGCGTGTATCCAGCCGGAGCAGTTTAAACGTAACACCGACGTGACAACTTGGAAATAACCGTGGTAGCCGAGGCTAAGGGAGGAAGATGAGCACTAAACAGGTGACTTGCAGGTGAGTCTGTCATTTTGTTTGTTAGTTTGTACATTACCTGTCTGTTTCCCGACTCGCACTCTGTTTCTGAACGACATTTCTGCGGACGCGTTAGCATCGGCCTAATGTTTTTAGCTGTTAACTTGTGTCCCGCTGTCACTTCATTCCTACTAACGAACCACGGGGCGGGCTACAGTTGCTGGGTTTCATATGAAGTCCTATTTACTATCGCCTATTTAAAGACGTTTGTAATTATGACTCCGGTGATACAAGTTCTATAGCCCATTTTTAATGCCTAGTTACTTTTCACCCACCCTGTAGGTTAACTAACTAACCTGCGTCTCTGCCCAGTACAGCGCTTACGCTATCGGTTTACATTACGATTTTCACTATGCCTTTTTATTTTACTGGATTGCACCATCGTTTCTTTTAACGAGTTCATTATTTCTTTTATTTTAGCTTTTATTTATATACGGCATCCATTGTAGTAGGTGCAACCATAAATATTGTGAATTTTCGGTGCCAATAAAATAGATAAGTTAAAGTGGTTCTTCATTAGAATTTAAAAGGCCCCTGAAAATATAACAAAGGTCCCTGGGGAGGTTAAAATGGCCCTTGAGATGTTTCAGGTTGCTGAGGATGTTCTGAGAGTCCTTGAATACATTTCCTGTGTTTGTGAGGGGTTTGAAGTGTCACTGAGAAGGTTTAAATTGGTCCTGGATGAAGTTTAATGGGTTGTTGATAGAGTTCCCAGTGATACATAAAATGTCCTTTTGGAGGTTCTGGGTCCTCGAGTATGTTGTCAGTGCTGTTACTCTTGTTAACAGCAGGTAAATAAACCAAACAGCTGTTACAGTGTTCACCTGAGTCTCCAGCCAATCAGAGATGAGGGAATTTTTTGTTGCCATGATGATGGGTGTGCACTGGTTTGAAGCTGCTGATGTCACTTATTGTGCAGCACTTATTGTGGAACAGATGTGTTGTATTTCAGGTATTTCCTCCATGGTGCATGCAGGGAGGGCAGCCGCTGTTTGTTCTCTCATGACCTCAACAACAGTAAACCCTCCACCATCTGCAAATTCTACCAGAGAGGACTGTGTGCCTATGGAGAACGCTGCAGGTAACACTCATCAGAAGGGGTAATGCTTGTCTGACAAGCAGCATTTACCTTGCAGGTAAATTGGTTACTTGACTGAGTTTTTACATGACTTCTTCTGAGTATTCAGATTTGTGTGACCTGTGTGCAGGTATGACCATATCAAACCTTCATCCAGAGGGGGAGTGGTAGGAGCTTCAGAGGATACAGCAGGTGCAGCAGGAGGCAGGCCTTTGGTCAGAGGTGGAGCGAAGAAGACACTTGTTTTGAGAGACAAAGGTGACTGACGCACTACAGAATGCACATGCCTAACCTGCTCTCATTAGGCTTTAATGCTACAGTTGTTGCACATAGGGGATCCATAAGGTTCAGGTGGACCCTTCTGAATCCCAGGCTCAAAGTATTCCTTGTCTCATGATCCCAAAGGTAAACAATCAACATGGCTGATTGCAATAAATCAAAGGTTAGGGTCTTTTTTTATCAAGGAGGTCAATGCAGCAGAACACTGGAAACTAAAGCAGGGGCTGTTACACAATATTTAACATCACTTTCCTCAGAATATGACATAACTAATTTCAGATGTCATTAGTAGACAAAGTTAACATTCGGGGTGAATGAACCCACCTGGTGTCCCAGAGAGCTCCAACATTCTGGATGGCTCCATCAGATTTTTTTCAGAAGGTCAGACAGTTTAGAGTTGTCTGGAATGCAGCATTAGTAGGTAGGTTCCTGTTCTCTTTAGGATTCTTAGCAGAACAATGTGTCACTTCTTTTAGTAGGGAGGTTCTAACTAAAAAAACTAATTAAACCCTCAAACCACTCTTTTTAGCTGAAAACCAATGTGTATGGGTATTTAGTAGTGTTGTTTGATTCAGATGAAAACCTTGACATTTTAGTTCAAAGTATTTGAAATCTGCATTTCGTGTCATAAATATGCATAGGGACTGCCCTCTACTGGTTGAAACTCAGCTACTTTCATAAGTATACAAGGAAAACAGAAAAAGTGATAAAATGGTAGTGGTGCACCTGTATTTAGTGTGATTATGTCTGACACCTGGTCCCTCACAGACACACTCTGTAGTCTGTTGGTCAGAAAATCTGTGATCCACAAAATCAGACCACCACTTGCCCTTAACTCGAGAAGCCTTTTCAAAAGAGTATGTATTTTCTTAGAGTTGAACGCTGAACTAAAATAAATAAGCAATATTCTAGCATAATGCCTGGGCTGTTGTATGTGTTTAGCTACAGGTTAAGGTTAAAGTTGCATTGTCAGTGCTTCTGAAATTTTTTAGAGGCAAATTGCAGGGGCTCTATATGATCAACAACAGCTGATATTAAATGCTTAAGTCTATAGGCTTAAAATCATTTAACTGGTCAGCTCTGGGGTGTTTGGGTATAGGGGTGTTTGACCTCAAGTTTGACTACAAGTGTCACTTCAGATACTTAGAGACTCTTGGCATGATTATCAAAAAACTTTGAAAAATCTTAAGAGAAATTATTTCTCTAATATCATTCAGTCAAACTGTCATAAGCCTCATGTGTTGTTTAAAGTTATTGACTCAGTTCTGAATGTCCCTCAGGTTGCCTGTTTTGAGTCTTCCCCCACCCTTTGTCAAAAATTTTTATTATTTTTTAATGACAAGGTTCTTTCTACCAGAGCTCAAATTTTATCTCCTGTTTATGGTTTTTCTGTCTCTCGTCCCTGCTCTGCTGTTTTCAACCAGTTTGAGTGTGTGTCCTTATCCTATTGTCAGGAGATTGTTGGGCGACTGAATCCCTCTGGTTCCCCAAATGATGCTGTTCCTCCTCGTTTTTTAAAGGAAATCTTTCCAGTTGTGGGGCCATTTGTTCTCTCCATTATTAATAGCAGTTTATCCTCTGGCCTGGTTCCAAAGATGTTTAAACATGCCGTGGTGCGGCCGCTGATTAAGAGACCTGGTCTGGATCCCACAGTGTTCTCAAATTTTAGGCCCATCTCCAATTTGCCCTTTCTCTCCAAAGTCCTTGAAAAGATAGTTTATGCTCAGTTACTGGCTTTCTTAGATGAGCACAATATTCTTGAGACTTTTCAATCAGGGTTTAAAACCCAGCATAGTACTGAGTCAGCCTTGGTGAAAGTCTTAAATGACATTTTTCTTGCTACTGACTCAGGGAATTGTGTGGTCCTAGTGCTCTTAGATTTGACTGCTGCTTTTGACACAGTGGACCACAATATCCTTATTTCTCGTTTGGAGCACTGGGTGGGTATCCGGGGGATAGCTTTGGAATGGTTTCGATCTTATCTTAAGGATAGATCCTTCTGTGTGAAACTAGGAGATGCTGTATCTTCCTCTGAGCCCCTTGTGTATGGGGTACCACAAGGCTCGGTCCTTGGACCCCTTCTTTTTTCCCTTTACCTTCTCCCACTTGGTACTATACTCAGGAATCACAGTGTTTCCTTTCATTTTTATGCGGATGATTGCCAGCTTTACCTACCGGTTAATAAGATGAGCTCTTCCGTTAGCACACTTCTTGAATGTCTGGATGACATTAAATCTTGGCTTGCTTTTAACTTTTTAAAGCTGAATGAGGATAAGACTGAGGTGATTGTATTCGGTGATTCTGTTGGTTCACCATCTGTTGACTTGGGCTCATTGGCTCATTATAATCAAAAGAATATTTTAAATTTAGGTATTAAGATGGATCCAGATTTAAGATTCGACAGCCAAATTGCAGCTGTCATTAAATCTAGTTTCTTTCACCTCAGACAGTTGGCTAAAGTAAAAGCATTTGTCTCTAGACAGCATTTTGAGACGCTTATTCATGCTTTCATTACTTCCCGTTTGGACTATTGTAACTCATTGTATCTTGGGGTCGGTGAGTCTTCTATCAATCGCCTCCAGATGGTCCAAAATGCAGCAGCGCGTCTTTTAACAGGTACAAGGAAATATGAACATATCTCTCCAGTTTTGGCCTCCCTACACTGGTTACCTGTCCATTTTCGGGTCCATTACAAAATTTTACTCTTTGTTTTTAAATCCCTTCATGGCTCTGCACCATCCTACTTAACTGATTTGCTTCATTGGCATACACCCACACGCTCTCTGAGGTCAGCAAATCAGTTTCTCTTGAGTGTCCCAAGAACGAAGCGTAAGCTTAGAGGCGATCAAGCCTTCGCAGTTGCTGGTCCTAAACTCTGGAATGATTTACCGCTGTCCATTAGACAAGCCTCTACCCTGTCTGTTTTTAAGTCTCTTTTAAAAACTCATTTATTTTCCCTGGCATTTTAATATTTTTGTGTTGATTTTAGTCATTTTTTATATTGATTATATTTTATATTGTTGTTTGTGGGTTTATAATTTATACTGTTTTATTGCAGTGTACAGCACTTTGGTCCACTTTGGTTGTTTTTAGTCCTTTATAAATAAAGTTGGTATGGTATGGTATCTTCCATGAGCGTGAAAGAGTACTTAAATTCGACGAAAGCTACAGCAGTCAAGTTAAACATTTCATCAAGTGGGGAGCACAGTCTTTAAGGAGTCGTTCTCTCAAACCATGATGATTGTCAACCATATCTTTTTAATCTAGTTTAGCTCTTTTTATTTTACTTTCAAGCTCCCTTCTTTTTGCTTTGACAAAGTCAATCAAACAAGATTTTAGTTCCTTAGATAGCCAGGGCCTATTGTTTAGGAACATTATTGTTTTTGTTTGAACACAGTTACTTTCACAAATAGGATGTGATAAAATCAGTCCATTTGTCAATACTGTGACACTGCCATCTCCACTGTTTTGAGTGTGTTTGGCTCCAGGTTGTTGCGACTGCACCACGGAGCCAGCTGTAGGCCGACTCATCACCGTCTCTGATGAGACCGATGATTGTTGTGTCTTCGGCGAACTTCAGGAGCTTGACAGAGGGGTCACCTGAGGTACAGTCGTTGGTGTAGAGTGAAAACAGCAGAGGGGAGACCACACATCCCTGGGGGGTTCCTGTGCTATTAGTCTGGGTGCAGGATGTGGTTTTCCCCAGCCCCACCTGCTGCTTCCTGTCTGTCAGAAAGCTAGTAATCCTCTGACAGGTGGGGGCAGGCACAGTGAGCTGGATCAGTTTGGAGTGGAGGATGTCTGGGATGATGGTGTTGAACGCTGAGCTGAAGTCCACAAAGAGGGCCCGTGCATAGGTCCCTGGGGAGTCGAGGTGTTGCAGGATGTAATGCAGTGCCATGTTCACTGCATCGTCCACTGACTTGTTTGCCCGGTAGGCAAACTGCAGGGGGTCTACCCTGACACCCATTACAATGGTGAGCTTTCTGGAGCCAGTGGACAAACAAACAGCACGCTGTCTGCTATTAGCCAAAGATCATTTATGAGGTAAAGAGGCATCACTCTGTAACACCACTGAATAATCAGAGTGAACTGAGTACTTCTGTCATTCCAGCAACTCCAACAGAGTGAGATGTCTTCACAGGTAAAACTATCAGTTTATCTCACATCAATAATGGAGATTTAGTACATTGTGTGGGATAGTGTACACACAAGTGGTCATAAAGATTCATCATCTGTCATCTTTTACATTATATATAAATCCTGCACTTTCAGTAGCATTTTATTTTGTTGTAACCCCCCCCCCATAGCTATCTATCATTGTCAATCGCAACGTTTTATTGTAGACATCGTCCGATCCCAATTTAACAAACATTGCGCATATGCAATCCACAGTTCACAGTAGTCCACTGACAATGTGACAACACTTAATTATATACATAAAATAATGTACATAAATAGGTCAGTGGACTAGCTAAAACCCTAAATGAATGCCTGAATGACTACCGCCCTGTAGCACTCACACCCATTGTCATGTAATGCTTTGAGTGCCTGGTCCTGGCTCGCCTGATGACCTGTCTCCCACCCACACTGGACCCCCACCAATTTGCCTACCGAAGGAATAGGAGCACGGAGGATGCAGTCTCCATAGCACTGCACTCCGTACTCAGACACCTGGACAATAACAACACCTGCTCTTCCACCATTATCCTCAACACCAGCGTACCACAGGGCTGTGTTGAGCCCATTCCTCTACTCCCTTTTCACCCATGACTGCAGGCCTGTGCATGGCTCCAACACCATCATCAAGTTTGCAGACGACACCACAGTGATTGGCCTCATCAGCAACAACGATGAGTCAGCCTACAGTGAGGAGGTACAGCACCTGGCTGTGTGGTGTGCTGACAATAACCTGCTTGTTTACACTGACAAGACCAAGGAGCTCACTGTGGACTACAGGAGGGAGAAAGGAGGTACACATGACCCCATCCATATTAATGGGATGGTTGTTGAATGTGTTTCTAGCTTCAAATTCCTGGGGCCCCACATCTCAAAGGATCCCACAGCCTGGTTAAGAAGGCTCACCAGTGCCTCTTCTTCCTGAGGACACCGAAGAAGAACCACCTGTCTTCAGCCATCCTGGTGAACTTCTACCACTGTGCCATCGAGAGCATCCTGACCAGCTGTATCGCAGTCTGGTATTGAAACTGCTCTGTCTCCGACCGCAAGGCACAGCAGCAGGTGGTTAAAAACTGCCCAACGCATCAAAAGGACTCCACTTCCAGCCATTGAGGGCGTCCACAGGGAACGCTGTCTCCGACGTGCTTGCATCATTCTCAAGGACTCCTCTCACCCTGCTCACAAACTGTTTGACCTCTTGCCCTCAGGAGCCTCCAGACCAAAACCAGTAGACTCAGGAACAGCTTCTTCCCCACAGCTGTCTCCTTAATGAACTCTGTCCCCCGTTGACCCCCACTGCCTTCCTCTATGCCACTACACACACCTCACCCCTTCTCATCTCTCCTCCTGGGACTAATGCAATACACTTCTGTTACCTGTGACACTGAAGTGATCTGTTAATTTGCACATTCTCACAGAATACTTCTCTGTATTCATTTGCACACTGCTCATATGCTGATATTGTATATTTATTTTTATCTTTGCACTATTTACATCCATTAAACTGTTCACTCATGTAACTTGTCTTATTCTGCACCGTTTCATTCCATCTCATCCTATTGCACTAGTGTTCTATAAGCTTAATGTACCTTGTCCATTACTTGTAATTTGAATCCATAGTCTGTTGTACATTGTACGTTACCCTACATATCTTACTGTAAATATCAATTGTACATACATTATCTATTGGTAAATTATTTCTGACTGTACAAACTGTAGTTACTCACACTGCACTTCTGGCTGGATGCTAAACTGTATTTCTTTGCCTTGTACTTGTACAGTTGAATCTAATCTAATCTTTTTGGGGGGTGACTGTGGTTCAGTGGGTAGAGCAGTCGTCTCCCAACCAGAGGGTTGGACATTTGGAGATTTGAATCTTGGTGCCTGCAGTCCACATCTCAAAGTGTCACTGGGCAAGACACTGAACCCCCAAGTTGCCCCTGATGGTTAGAGGCATCGGTTGAGTTGGTGCCGCAGATGGCTGCCATCAGTTCTGTACCAGGAACAAATTCCGTGTGTGTGTGTGTGTGTGTGTGTGTGTATAACGTACTTGGCCAAATAAAGGTGATTATTTATTAAATCTAATCTAATCTAACCCTGTCTGTCTCTCTTCCTGTCTCTCTCAGTGTTGGGTGTTGACAGTGTGTTGGGGGGTCCAGCTGACATGTTGGGGTCAGAGGTCACGGCAGCTCCTCAGTCATACGTGGACGCCATCAGGCTGGGTCTGGACACCTCGGCGCAGGAACAAGGTTGGACACACAAAATATTCTCTACTGACGGGTTAGCTATTGTCCATGATGAGATGTTTCATGCTCATGGCAGTTTGTTTTTCTGTGTTCTCTGTAGCTATGGCTCAAGTGTGTGGGTCCTACCAGGACCTCCCCCCGCTGTGTCCGTATGCTGCCACTGGACAGTGTTATTATGGCAATAGCTGTACATATCTACATGGCAACCGGTGTGAGGTGTGTGGACTGCAGGTTCTCCATCCTCATGACCCCGAGCAGAGGAGAGTGCACGAGAAGGTGTGCATGTTCATTTTATTTAAATGAATCGGGGGTAAAAGGGGCTGTCAGGTTCTTCCTGTGTTTGTGTGTACCTGCTTCAGATATTTATTTTTTGTTTCAATCATGTCTCGTATGAAAATGTGTTGGCACAAATAAAACATTTCCAAGAGAAATGAATGGTAATCGGTGGCTGCCTGAATGAATAAGAAAAATACTGTTAAATTTAAGCATGCACGGCAGTTTTCGATCTCAGCCATTTTCACAGCAGAGCAGTACACATCACTTACAAACATGAATGTTAAACCATGAACATAAAAAGATCAGATCTGACTTAAACATCAGAAGTGAGCCTTAAGGCCTGTGATGGACATTAAAACAGTCCACCTAGATTGGAAGTTGTTTTTTTGTTATATAGACAGCCGTGGGGGTTCAGGTCATTTAGTGCATGTAATAGTAGGGTGGTACTAACAAGGTCTTTGTATGCAGATGTGTCTGCTGGCATTTGAGACTGACATGGAGAAGGCATTTGCAGCCCAGCTTAGCCAGGACAAGGTGAGTTCATTCAGCCACTGATCACTTCTTACTGTGACAATAACAATAATAATTGTTGTTGTTCAGGTGTGTTCGGTCTGTATGGAGGTGGTAGTGCAGAAGGCGAACTCGTCTGATCGCAGGTTTGGTATCCTGTCTTCCTGCTGTCACACCTTCTGTCTTGCCTGCATCCGACAGTGGCGCTGCACCAAAAACTTCAGCAACAAGATCATCAAGTAAGGGTCATGAAGGACCACATTCCAGAACGGGGTCTGAGACATCAGATAAAAGTCTGTAAGGGCAGGACAGGCTAAAGTTGGACCAGGTGTTTAAAGTAGGTCTGAGACTCTAAGACAGGATCTGTAAGGTCAGGACATTCTGTAAATCTTTACAAACAGATGTTTGTAAAGTTGGACTTGAGTCTTTGTGGTCAGAATGGAGTTTGACTGTTGAGTACAGTGTCTTTCATGTTGCTGTTCAGTCTATAGGTCTGTGAAGTCAGGTTAGGGTCTGTTAGGTTGGGATAAAGTATGTTAGGTTGGATATGCAGGACAGCATTTATGAGACTAGGACCAGAGTCTGTTACAGAGTTTGTTACAGTTAGTCTTTGTCTCAGGTCCTGTCCGGAGTGCCGGGTCATCTCTGAGTTTGTCATTCCCTCAGTTTATTGGGTGGAAGACCAGGATGAGAAGGACCACCTCATAGAACTCTTCAAGTCTGGAGTCAGGTGAGCTACTCGTGTGTCCCTTGGTAACCACGCTCGTCCGCAAATTTCCAGCCAGTGAAATCACAGCATCAATTTCACATGGATTCCTCATTGTGTCTTCACTCAGGACAAAAACCAGTTCTGCAGACTTAGTATGTCTCCCACAGAATCCATTGGTCTTGTGTAATGTTACAGATGCAGCCATTTTGAATTGCCTGGTGGACCATGGCAGAACCCTGCTTTATCCATGAAAGGTCTGTTCACGGCCCCTGCTCTTACTGTGTATCCTCTGCGATGACGGTTATCACAGCGCTGCCTTGTTAATGCCCCTAAGCACCGTGTGTGCAAACCACCCACAGTGTTGTGTATATATCCACCAGGTGGAGCAGTGTTTGCTGTAGATTACTGCAGAGGCCGACTGATAGTTTGATCCTTCTGTTAATGTCCAGAACTGCTGGTGGAGGAATACAGTAGGAGTGCTGGGCTGAGCATTTTAACCATATTTAAAAGATCTTTGACTAGAGGTGTGAAACCCAGAGTAACAGATGATTAATTCTGTCTGTCTAGTGCTGTACCTGTGTGATAAGGATTATGGTCAGACAATTCAATCGTATACACTGTGGCCTAAAGATGCTACTTCAGGCGGTCACGCTCTGGTTTGTGTGGCTGTGTATTTGAAAACAAATCACCATCTAATGGTGACACTGTGTAAATCAAGGAACATCTTTTTAATAGGTGTGTTTACTGTGGAATCTAGACGGGCCTTATCAGGAAACAGGAAAAGGGGGGCTGCCTGGAAGCCGACTGGGAACAGCACAAGCTGCACGCCAGCTGAAAGCCATTCAGCTGGGTAAAGCAATTCTGATTGGCTGCATCTGTACATTCACTGTCTGTTGTGTAAAGATTTAATTTAATTGTTTTGAGCAATAAAGTCACTGATTGTTTGAAACTCCGCTTTGTGGTTTTAGGTTGAGCCAGGTACATTTTTTTACCCTCGTCTGTATTTTTGTTTAATATGTTTTATTTTGAGCAGAATCATTTTGTTGATTAAACATTTGATGTATTTACTGGTCATGTGCTTGCTACCTCCTGTAAGTTAATACCTCCAATACTGACTAAATTCAGATTTAAAAAGACAAATAGAAGAAGAAGCTGTAGTTGTTGTTTTCTGCCTTTTTGCAGTAAGAAGGCCTGTAAGTACTTTGATCAGGGTCATGGTTCCTGTCCTTTTGGAGGGAAGTGTTTGTATCTTCATGCCTTTCCAGACGGAACCCGAGCGCAACCCGACCGGCCACGGAAACAGCTGACCTCTGAGGGGAATGTCCGGGTTAGAGATTATGGCCACCATTTTTATCCAGTTATATTTCATCATTTTAGTTTCCAGGGTTTTGTAGTTTAATAACTCTTTTTGTTTCTTTGTGCAGTTCATGAACAGTGTGCGTCTGTGGGATTTCATCGAGGAGCGTGAGCAGCGGTCGGTCCCGCCCCTGCCATCTTTTGATGATGACATGACAGAGCTCAGGGAGCTTTTCATGCAGATGTCGGGACCCAGTCATGAGGAGCTGGAGACCCTGCCCACTGCAGACCAGTAGAGACTGGACTGAGTCCTCTTGTCCATACACTGATATTACATGGAACCATCCATTATCTCTACTGCTTATCCCGAAGAGGGTTGCAGGGTGGGAGGCTGAAGCCAGTCCCAGTTGACATTGGGTGAGAGGCAGGACACACTCTGAATAGGTCGCCAGTCTATCCCAGGGCTGACACTTGGAGACAGACGACCACACACACCCACACTCACTCCTACAGACAATTTAGAGTCACCAGTCAACCGTGCTACCATGCCACCCCTATCATGGAACCATTGAAACATTAAATAATTTTGCCAGCCTGATGGTCTGTTGTGTTTCAATCTGGGAAACTAATGTACATAACTTTCATAATTTTGAGTAATGATTTCTTAATGTCATTTCATGTATCATATAAATAAATAATTAAAAATAACTACATTAATATACAAGTGAGGTTTGGATATGAATAAAATGAGTGCATATATTTATTGTGGCCAGTGGAGGACATACTTTGCCCAACACAGAGGAGAGTCTTTGCACAGACTTCCTGTGGCATCCTTTGTCACAGCTGAGCTTAAGTCTCTGACCGAACGTGTGCTACCATCTGACCAGTAGATTGTGGAGATGTGGTGTTCTCCATAATGTTCAACAGTTTGTGCAGCAAACCTGCAGTGCTCCTGTGCTGCAACCACCCATCCAGGAATACACATCCCCAGAGCCACCACAAACTATGGCCTGACAGTATGTCTGTCAGGCAGTAACACAGGAGGTTGTAAAGGTGTCCATATGCATATTCCTGTGCTTGTCTTTTAGCTAGTCGAAGCTTCGACACAGTATTCACAAAAATGGTTCATTACTCTAGGCTTCAATGACACAGTGCTCGAGTAGGACATCTAGTGATCATTAAAATGAAATGCAGTCAAGACGTGTCACTGGTTCATGGATTGTTTGGGATGTGATTCGCCATGCATATTCCTGTTCGACTACACTACATGGTTGGATGGTTTCAAGCTGACAGTAAAATATAAAATGAACATGAACTCATGTTAAAGACCATGTTTCTTATTTGGCACATCTGATTGTAACCCTATATACTCTACTTAAATTTTGTGTTATGAAACATTTGGATGCTGCTGCTACATTCATGAGATGTGCTCTACAAATTCAGACAGATGTCATTTTCACATGGGACTGGTGTAAATACAGAATATATTATGGACTTTGGCAAAGTATGGGGTTCATTTGTAAAGAGGTTCATGGGTAAAGAGGGTGTGCTTGTGTAACTTTTCTCAGGTGTTCAAATACTTATGTTCAGCAGTGCTAGACAAATAAATTCTTTAAAAATCATACAATGTGATTTCCTGAAATTTTTTTTTTTAATTCTGTCTCTCAGAGTGGGAATGCACCTACAATGTGAATTTCAGACCCCTCCATGATTTCTAAGTGGGAGGACTTGCAAAATCGCAGGGTGTTCAAATACTTCTGTTCCTCACTGTATGTATATCTAGCTGGATAGTTAATTATCCCCCCTCCATATATAAATATCCTATCTATATATGTCATATATCTATATCTTGTATATAGTTACATAGTCCTAAATAACATTAGATATAGATATCTAGTGTTATCTAATTTATCTATTGCTAACTTACTACCTAGCTATCTATCTCTCCATCTACAGTGATTCTCCACTAAATACACAATCTGCTACAACTCTACTAACTCTCAGAGCAACTAACGGCAATGACAGGATCATTTTAACAAATGTGTCCTAAATATTCTTACACTTCAAATACATGTCATACATTTTGGGTGTCTGACAACATACTGTAGTCTTTACATACTGTGCTGTAATATAATGACTGTATAGTGTTGCAAAAAAACTGTATAAACTGATGCGGTCTGAGAGCTTTACTGTCAAGTCAAACTTATTATAGGATTACAACATATTTAAGCCAAAAAAAGGATCTCCAAAAATACAATGAAAACTCAAACAAACCAATGGAATCAATGGGAAAAGACAAGCATGGTTTTTAAATAGAGTAACAATTGGAGTGGGCGTGGCCACTGAGTAACACTTGGAGTAGGCGTGGTCACGGAGTGTCAAATGCCGGCTCCGCTCGTGCCAGAGGACGCGTTCTTTCAGTGCTGCAGAGCATCTACAGCAGGGCTGCCCAATACGTCGATCGCAAAGGTAGTGTTGGTAGATCGCGTGCCATTCAAAAATAAATTGGGTGTATCCGACGTAAAACACGTGCCAAATGTTAATATGCCAATGGTCAGTGTGACGATTCGCTGTGGCGACCCCTAAACGGGAAAAGCGGGACAATCATTCATATTGTGGCGACCTACGGCGGCTATTGGGGAGGGGTCTGGCGGCAGCGACATGATGCATGGGGGCATCATGGGAGCTCAGCGACTAGTTCGGGGAACAGTCGTAAAAGTGTTTTATTGTGTTCTGATGTGTTACCCTGTTGTGTTATCTTAATGAATTATACTGCTATGTGTTTTGCTAGCTAGTTGTGTGCTGTGTTCTGAACCATAAGTCTAAGTTGTATGTGTAAAACTGACCCTGTTGGGAATGTGATGTGTGGTGCGGTTCTGTGTTCTAAATAAATGACCAGAAAGACAGAGTTGCATGGTAGTCATTGTGAAGGACACGCCCAAGCGCTATCCAGAGTCGTGCGGTGTATGGGACCTGGAGTACTAATTGACAGCATAGGTGCTAGCGCCCTGCTAGTTAGTTTAGCTGCTCAAAGTATAGGTAGTCTCTCTCCTCCACGCCGGGGGTCATTACAATATAGAGCCTATCATCCATCCTCCCTATGGCATTTGCTACTTGACTGACATGCAGGGCAGCCAGTCTGAGATCTTGTCTTTTCTGACACACGAGTCACCAAACATGCACAGTCAACCGCACGAGCTACTGCAAAACTCCAGTGAGCGAACTACCTTGTCAGCCTTCAAATGAATTTCTACTAAAGGGTATAAAATGACTGGGGGAGCCGAGTCAAGCAAGAAACCGAAAACGTAACGAAAACATTCCATGCGGAATGGGAGGAGGACCAGTTTCTTTCACCTCAGACTTTTAACGAAGGTTAAGACTTTTTTATCCCGGGGAAACTTAGAAAAGGCGATCCATGCTTTTGTCACTTCGCCTTTAGATGATTGTAATGCGCTGTGCGTTGGTATATCTCAGTCGCTGCTGAGGAAACTCCAGCTGGTCCAAAATGCGGCAGCTCGGCTTCTGTCCAACATTCCCAGGTTTGCCCACATTACTCTGGTTCTTCACACATTACACTGGCTGGCCGTACATTTAAGATTCTTTTATTTGTGTTCAAAGCCTTATAAGGCCTTGCCCCACTTTACTTGGCTGACCTTTTATCTATTTATGTGCCGCGTAGAGCCTTGCGCTCCTCTAAAAACCTATCTCTAGTGGTCCCACGGTCCCGATCCAAAAAATGGGGTGACCGCGCATTTGCCGTTTATATTCGAAGTGCGTTTGCTTGATCTACCATCACTATTCCGAAGAAGGGAAATGTGGAGCGGCACTTTCAGACTGTTCATAAAAACTATGACACTCATTCATACCTATATTGTGTGTGTGTGCGCGTGGTATTTTTAGTGTAGGTCGATAGATCATTTTGACTTGGTCATGTGAAAAGTAGCTCTCAAGGCGAAAAGGTGTGGGCACGCCTGATCTACAGCTTAGCACTTTTTCCTTTGACCACACTCCACTTTTCTGAACAACCCTGCCTGAAGATGGATCTTATCAGGACAGAAACATCGCGAGTTAGGCTTGTTTTATTCTGAATGAGGCAGCGGCTCCAACCTGCCCAACAGAAAACGTGAGGAGGGCTGGACGGTTCGGTTTAACTATGGCAGGATGATTTCGGGGGGGCACGCCCCAGGGACGCTCTGAGGTTCATTGGGTCTCTGACGGAACAGGGATGTTTTCTGAGGAAAGGAGAGGAACAACACTCTGCTGAGATGCCCGAAGGTAAGTCGGATCACCACAATTCTGTTAGCTAACAGCTAGCTGACGGGTTAGTTGAACAGATGTGTCTAAAATAAACCTTGAGAAAAGGGTCATTCATGTTATGGCGTGTTTCTACTAAGGCATGTTAGCACTGAATCTGTTGTGGTTTAGCCTCGCTTCCTGGTTTTCTGGTGTGGTTTTCCTCCCCCCCTTCCTGCCTCTTTCTCAGCCACAGTAATTATCCGTCATTCCATCCACCTGCCGCTCATTACCTCATGGTCTTGCTGCATATAAATACACCTGTTTCCTGCTTGTTCCTCACTGGTTCATTCAGGCATACATGCTCTGAGCTACTCTCTTGATGACCTCGTCACCAGTTTGTGGTGTGAGTTACCTGACGTTTTCTTGGTAGCTCTAGTTCTAGATTTCCTGTTCTCTAGTGTGGGGTATTGACCTGCTGTTCTGTTATCTGCAGTACTGTCACCTGCTGCTACCAGTGTGCTCAGCTGTTATCGTGGTCTCCTGTGTGGGGAAAGTTATCAGCAATGCATCTCCTGCTGCCACACCGCTTACCAGTGTGGCTGGGTCAGTTCCAGTGTGCACTGGTCTCCCCCAGGCTATTACCATTCCTTGGTCCTCTCCCTACATCCACTCTCCTCCTCCCTGGTTACTACAGCGCCCTGGTTCTCATCCTACGTTCCACACCACCTGTCAGCCAAGGGAGCCGGCCTGTCCAGTCCTGAACCTGCTTAATCTCAGTCAGTTTCTCTCTCCTCTACCCAGTAACCATTCAACTTCTGTGGCCGGAGTCTGCATCTTGGGGTCCATCAGTACCGGTACACACCATCACTGTCAGGTCCGCTCGGCGCAACCTGCCTCTTTCTTTATTTCCTCTCCTGCTCTCCCTTTTTGCGGGATCAACGCCTCAGCTGTGTCGCATCGGGTAATTAGTGACTCGTGGGTCGGTGCGCACACCTGAGGCGTATTCCAGTGATTTGTTGGCTTCCTTATTTATACCTCTGGCAGAGGCCCCGTCGTCGCCGGAGCATTGCGACATGTAACGGACAATACTTACCCTATGTAAGTTAAAAGTTTATGTTTGACTCGCATTTTTAGACGTGTGTAAGATGCTACGCTGACAGTATCTGTGCGTTTTGGCTTGACCTTATCACGCTAATTATGCGGTTAGCAATACCTAAATACGTGCTTTGTCTTCCACGCTGACAGTCCCTGTGCTGTGGATTACATTGTGTACGTTAGTTCTTTTTGTTCACCTGTCCGTTCTCATCCTCCTGCTCTCCTGATTCCTGCCATTAGTGTGTATGTGTACCTGTTCGTCCTGGTCTCCCTAGTCATCACTGCCCTTCCCTTGTATGTATTATGGACCCTGTTGTTGTCACTTTGTTGTTTTTATTCCATTAAACCTCCTTTTTTGTACTAGCACCTGGGTCAGCCATCTTAAGTCCA